ACCGCAGTAAACCGCAGTTAGAAATTTTGAGTAGAGACTTGATAACGTGATCACCCTGAGTTGAAGAATTCCACGGTAACAACGCATATAATAAAAAATTTTGCATTCTAATTTCTTACTTAAATATAAAATAGGATTACAGTAAATTGTAATATGAAAGTGCTAGTGAGAAAATACCCTTTTCTTTCATAATTCAAAAAATGAAATATATAAACAGACCTGCCTTTTTAAAGTTAAAATAGTAAAAAATTTCTTAGTAAAAATTGTTTTTACAAAATGATCAAAGTCTTGGCACTTTATCTTTTTTTCTAAACAATATAAGAAAAAAGAGTGGTTATAAAGGACGGGCTGTGTAGAATAGAACAAAAAGGATAGACTTTAATTTGAATCATAGGTAAAGTCCTATACTTGTATTTATTTTCTCTATATTAATAAAGCAAGTTTTTTTATATTTATCACATAACATTGAATATTTTCTATTATACATAAAATATTATCAATTATGATGCAAAACCTATTATTGAATATGTCTTTCTTTCTTGAATGGTTAGAGCTTGATGCCTTCTTCTAAAAATATCAAATTGCATTAGAAGCACAAGGGGCTCAGTATCGGCTTCATAATACTAGCTAGTATAAAGATGTTAAAAACTCAAAGACATTGTTAATCGTAATTGGTAAAAGAGATGCATTTATCAAGATAATAGAATTTCCTTCTTGAAGTATGGTATGATGAAAACCTGAAAATTATTATTCCAGAAAGAATACAAAAAATTAAGAAGTTCATTGATCAAGCATCAAAAAGTTTTCATCTTTTATGATAAAAACAAGATTTTGAGAACAGAAATTTATATATTTTATGCATATATGATAATTAAGAATAAATGTATACTATTATAAATCATTGATTTATATAATCTATTAAGCATTTTGAGAATAATATTCTAGAACTGAGAAAGGTTATACTTGGAGTTATTCACAATTTCTGATCATTATTATTAAAGCTATAATCAAGAGAAAAAATCCTCCTAGTGCTGTTGTATAAATTGCAAAATGAAAAAATTTTTTATTGATATCCAAATTCCAATACAAATCCAGAATAGTAGAAATATATTATAGAAAATAAATGATACAATATAAAATTGCTTGATATATTTCATTCTTAGATTTTACGTTTTCCATAAATATACCAAAAACAATAACCAAGATGACTGTATTTTCAAATAGTTTTTATTAAAAAAGATTTAAAAAATTGAGAATACATAGAATCTATAGGTTATTTAAGTAAAAAATCTTTGCAATGAATATAAACAAAAGCAAATCATAAAAAATAACAAATCATACTCCTTTTCTACAGATTTTTAGTTTTACATCTCAGATTGTTTTTAGATAAGCTTCTTTATCTTCATTTTTACTAAGATTATTGTAAAATATAAGCGAAGTTTCAGATAAATTATCAAGAGTCTTTTGTAAATCTTTTGATAATTCTGGTCCAGTTGGTGAAGGTATTTTTGCAGAACTTTTTACATTTTCTTTTGCATTAGTTACACTCATATTGAAATATATGACAGAAATAATATTGAAAGTGATTAGTACTTTATTTGTGATGATTTTTTATTTTATAATATCAACTGAGAAATTATGTCATCATAAAATGTATCGCACGTGACATTTTGCTAGTATTATAGCATTAAAAAATTACTCATATAACAAATAAAAGGGACAAATATGATTTCGCATCCTGAAAAATTCTGTTTCCAAAATACTTATGAAAATAGAAAACATAAAGAGTGTGATGCAAGGTAATAAGTATTTCTATGATCACATAAGGTAAAATTTATTTATCAATATTGTCTAACTTAAAAGAGATGACCTTTTTCATAGGATACTTTTAATAATAATACTAGTAATTTAAATCATTAAAAGCTATATAAATATTAATTTTATAAACCATCTTTCATTAATGTTAAATAATAAAAATCAACTTATTTTAAATTAGTAGTTTAACCTATTTATATAATCTTTTTAAAATCTTTAATTTTCAATTTTTTTACTAAATTTCAGTTCTTATTTATATAAAATTTCATAGCTTTACTTATAAATTTTCAGTTTTTATTAGACTAATTTTTTAATATAAGTATAAATTTGATTTTGTCTATATTTTCCCTTGTTTATTTGTATTTAAAATTATATAAATAATTTTATTATCAGTAATTTACTTTCTAGCATTTTATTTTCAATATATATATATTCATATACATTAAGATCTTTTTAGAAATTGAAAAAGTAATAATATCAAGCTTCTTAATTTCTCTATCAAACTAAAAAAATAAATATATATTAGAAAACTATCTTATATAATATCATATTATTTAAAATTAATTATATTATACCTATTAAAAACTATTATATCATAGTCTTCAAATTTATTAATTTTGTTATTTAATAAAAGAATACCTGTTTTTTTTAGCAATTTAAAATTGTTTGTGATAAACCATTAATTATACTGTAGCTATATTTTATAGAGTATCATAAATAATATAATCATCAAGTTCTTCTACAATATCATCCTATATATTATTATATATATTAATTTAATTTTAAATAAAAAAATACTTGTAATAATATTTGAAAGAATAAATAATTTCTGTATTATATGATTAAAGTTTTATAATAATATTTAATAGGAAAAATTGCATATTTACACTATTTAAATTTTCTTGAGTTTCGTTCAAAATAAGGTTACTTGTCTAAACTCATTCTAGATTTAGTAAAATGTTTAAACTATAGTTTTGCTAAATTTTTACTAATGTTTAGATATAGTTTTGCATTTTTATAAGCTTTGATATAATTTTATCTTTTTCAGAATTTTACAGATTTTTTAATAAGGTTTTAATATAATTTTACTAATTTTTATCTTTTTTCATTTAAACAACTTGCAAAACTTTTAGGTTTTGTCTAGTTACCTTAATTTAAAATAAAATATACTAATGTATTATCAATTAAAAAAATAATTTTTTACTTTTTTCATTTGATTATTTCATTAAGTTTAAGAAGAACTTCATTATAAATACTAACTTACATTTATATCTTTTTATTCTAAAATAATAAACAGAAAGATTTTATAATTAATATTTTTATAACATAAAGAGTTTTATATTAATGAATAAATTTGAGTATTATTTTTTCAGTATTAGTTATATTTACATAGCAAAATATTATAACACATGATTTTTTTATAACCTGATATAGAAATTTATGCTAAAACATTAAAAGGTTCTATTTTCTAAAAAAGGTCAGATTTATTACTATTTTAAATATCTTCAGGATTATAAAATGAAGAAATTATTATAATTATTTACTATTGATTCAGTAGAAGATATACTTGTAGTTTCACTTTATTTCTTAAATTAATGCAAACTATAATATTATTTAAAACTACATAACTACCTTTTTGAATTATTAAAATCTTCTATAAAAAACTATCTAGTAAAATAATTTACTTATATTTTAAAAAGTTAATATTAATATTTTATTTATATTAAATGTAAATACTGAGTACTTCTTCTGATTAAGATCATTTTATATTAAAAAATTTTTTAATATTTTCTTGCTTTTTTGAAATTGTAAACTAATATTTTCTTTCATTCAAATATTAGTAACTGTTAACTTTTCAATATAATATTATTATACAAGTTCAATATTAGAAAAACTTAGATTTTTCTTTCATTTTACATATTTTACATTTTTACAGCTGAAAAATAACCTTTTTTTTTTTTAATATAATATTTAAGAGTTTAAATAAAATTTTCTGTATTTTGATAAAAAAGATTATTTATATTATGATAATCAATATATATTTTTAAGTTATGTAATCATTTAATTTATCAAATATATGATTAATTATATATAGTTTAACTAATATAAGTTGAATATAATATATGAAATTTTATTATATAATTTCAGTATATTTAGTGTAATATATTTGGATTATAGAGTAATAATCAGATTATAAAGTAGTACTTAGATTATTGAGTAATAATATAACCTAGTCAAGTGGTATATCATTTTTTAATATAATTATATTAAAGAGTAATATATATTTGTTGATCAAAAGTTTAAAATCACTTGGTAAATTTAAAAAAAACTTAATTTTTTTATTAAATTACATTTTATCATACTATAAAAAAGCATATATAATAACTTTAATAAATAAATAACAACTTTCAATATTAAAATAAATATATTTAAAAAAATTATTAAATAATTTAATATATAATACTTTTTTAATCATTTTTGATAAAATAAACCAAAATTAATCAACTCATAAAAAAAATTTTTCATAGGATTTTATTATATAAAACTTTCTTTGTTAAAACTATTTATTAAAATGATATAACAAAATAAATTAAGTAAAAAATTCTGTAAATTAAAAAACTAAATAAATATTTATTTTTTATAAAAAAACTATAATTTTTTTTAATAAAAAAGAAATTTTAATAAATAAATTTATAATTTTACTATTAAAAATTTAACAAAATATTTCTATAATATTTAATTAAATAACCACAAATTTTTATTACTGCTTTTATTTGATTTTCTATACTATAAATGAACTTTTTATAAATTTCACTTTATATTTATACTAACATTTCTGAAGAAACTTTTCTAATTCTCTTAAATTTTTTGAAAAAGTTTCTCTTAATCTGATATGATATTCAAATTCATCCTAGAAGTATTCTATCAAATTAAAGTTTGAGCTTTATCTAGGTTATGGTAGTAGAATTATTTCTTGTTCTTCTATAAAGGTTCGTATTCTTTCACTGATATGTATCAGAGCATTATTTTGTTGAAAGAAATAGTTTCCATTATTTTCTTCAAAATTTTCTAAAAATAGTATCACATGATAGCTAAGAATCTTATTTATATATCATTCACTATTGATCTGTTTATCAATTCTTATTAAAAGATCCAGCCCATACTAAGAAAAGCATCTTACATTATAATATCACCACCACCATATTTGATAGTTGAAGTGAGGTAATTGATATCATATTTTTCTTTTGACAGGCACTAAACTTTAATTTTTCCATCATTTTAAAATAAGGTAAATCTTAACTTATCGCTTCATATGATTTTTTTCCAATTCTCAATTATCTATAAACATTTTTCATAAACTTATTGTAAGCAGATTTTTCGATTAAGTTCATTAACTAATAGTTTTCTGAGAACTATATGGCTATAATACCCTAGTTCATATATTGTTCGTCTTATGATCCTTTTGTTTACTTTATTTTTAGTGGATTTTATTAAAATTTTGATGCATTTTTACAAGTGGATCACGATGATTTTGTGTAAAAATTATTTTAAAATAATATTTATCACGTTTACTTAATATTTTTAGACGTCCACTCTAAGAAATGATAGTAGTGGTATCTATTTTATTGTATTTTGCTATAATATAATGTATGGTAGTCATATAATAATCAGGTTTTTGTAAAATGACTCTTTCTCTTCATATAAGATGATAATTTTTTCATGTTTGAAATCAGATAGTTCTTTTTTTTTTTTTTAGCTATTTTCATGAAAAATAAAACGAAAGAGCAAAAAAAATTTATTTTATGGTGATTATCATTTATTGATTATTATATTACACAAAATTCTAATTTTATTTTAGTTAATTATGTATTAACTAAGGTTAAATGTCAATTATTTCACAAATTTCGGAGTGGTCCTAAACTTTGACTAGAAAGTATATCACTAAGTGAAAAAGGCTATAGACAAACTTGTAAGATTTTTAGAAGTGGAATTTGGTAAAGTGATAAAAAAATATTGTAAAAGGATTATCAATATTTAAGATTATTTTTAATAATAATATATCTAATAATTAAATAATAATTAATAAATATCAAAATCAAGAAATTTAATGGTCACATGTTTGTAATTTTGTTGGTTAATATTTTGTTCGGTATATAAGTAATATATATCAAACATTAATAATTGATTCAATCCTATCAAACATGTATTACAACCTGAAATTTTCGTCATATGCATCTTTTTGTTATCATAATTATATTTAGATATTAAAAAGTATTCCCCAGAAATTTAAAGAGAACAAATGACAAAAAAAAAAAAAGTAACCCGTAAATTAAAAAAAAAAAAAAACTCTTCTAGTTCATTTACGGTATTCTGATTAATTTTATGTTAGGTGTATTTATTAGTGTAAGGTTTTAAATTTTATTATTTATACGGAAATTAAATAAAATAAAACACAGTTATTTATAATACGATAATTTAATCTTTCAAAGATATTTCTTTTACATATTTGGTTAACAATTCAAAAAAAGAGTTCATTGACCTTTTAATCACAGGTTTATTTTCATTGTTTTTAAAATTGTATAATAGTTACTTTAAAATATACTTGAATTTTCATTCGTTCGAAATCATTAAAAATTCAGCTGGCTTGATTGCCATATAATTTTAATCGAAAGAATACGAAAAAGTACCTCCCGAATTCAAGACATATAACAAAAAGATTTTTATGTTGATAAATA